TTTAAGATGACTGAAATCAAGCATCTTTACCAACCACAAAAGAATGAAACAAGACATCAAATTACAAGAAGAAACCTGGAAACAACACAAAGATGAGGCAACTGAATAACATGTTACTAAAAAAAACCCAATGAGTCAATGAAGAAGTCAAAGAGGAAGTCAGCAAATATCTCAAAAATAAAAATAAAATACAATTTTCCAAAATCTATAGGAGGCAGGAAATGTAGTTCTAAGAGGGAAGTCAGTGATACAGGCCTGCCTCAAGAAACAAGGAAAATCTGAAACAACCTAACTCACCATCTAAAGCAATCAGAAGAACAAAACAGCCCAAAGTCAGCATAAGAAAGAAATGTCAGAGCAGAAACAAATGAAATAGAGGCTAAAAAGAAAATAGAAAAGATCAATGAAAGTAAGAGCTGGTTCTCTGAAAAGATAAACAAAATTGATTAACCTTTAGACTCATCAAGCAAAAAAAGAGAAAGGGCCCAAATAAATAAAATCGGAAATGAAAGAGAAGTTACAACCAACATCACAGAAATACAAAGAATAGTAAGAGATTAGTACAGATGATTATATACCAACTTTGAACAACCTCAAAGAAATCTAGAAACACATCCTTCCAAGACAATCAAGAAGAAATAGAAAATGTGAATAAATTGATTACTAGTATTGAAATTGAATCAGTAATCAAAAAACTCACAACAAAGTCCAGGACAAGATGGCTTCACAGATGAATTCTATAAAACACTTAAAGAAGAGTTAATACCTATACTTCTCATATTATTCCAAAAATTTAAAGAGGAAAGAATGCTTCCAAACTCATTATCCTTATACTAAAAACTACAGACCAAGACTCTACCAAAAAAAATTAAAGAAAATTACTGACCATGGTACAGAGTGAACATAGATGCAAAAAAATCTCAACAAAATATTAGCAAACCTAATTCAACAATATACATTTAAAGGACCGTGGTAGTGGTTCAGTCATTCAGTCATGTCCAACTCTCTTCGACCCTATGGACTGTAGCCTGCCAGGCTCCCCTGTCCATGGGATTTTCCAGGGAAGAATACTGGAATGCACTGCCATTTCCTTCTCCAGGGGATCTTCCTGACCTGGGGATCGAACTGGGGTCTCCTGCAGTGGCAGGCAGATTCTTTACCAACTGAGCCACCAGGGAAATCCTAAAAGGACCAGATGCCATGATTAAGTGGGATTTATTCCAGGAATTCTAGGGTGAGTCAATATCTGCAAATCAATCAATGTGATACACCACATTTACAAAATAAAGGAGAAAACTGCATGAGCATCTCAACAGGTAAAGAAAAAGCACTTGACAAAATTCAACATCCAGTTGCTTAAAAGCTCACAACAAACTGAGTATAGAGGAATGCACCTCCCATAATAAAAGCCACATACAAGAGACCACAGGTGGCATCACACTCAAAGGTGAAAAGCTGAGAGCTTTTCCTCTAAGATCAGGAACGAGACAAGGATCCCTACCATCACCACTTTTATTCAACACAGTATTGAAGTCCTAGTACTATGAAAAAGAAATAAAAGTTATCCAGATTAGAAAGAAAGAAGTAAAACTGTCACTGTTTGCAGATGTTACAATAGTATATATTTTAAAAAACCTTAAAGACGCCAGCAAAAAAACTGTTAAAACTGATCAATGGACTTAGTAAAGTTGCAGGATACAAAAATCAATATACATAAGCATATTATATTTCTATAAACTAGTAACAAAGTATCAGAAAGAAAAATTCAGAAAAGGATCCCACATGGGATAAGTCAACCTCATACACCATTGGTGGGAATTTAAATTGGTGCAGCCAATTTTCCATGGAAAACAGTATGGAGATTTCTCAAAATACTAATAATAGAACTACCATATGATCTAGCTATCCCATTTCTGGCTATTCATCCAAAGAATACAAAAACACTAACTGGAAAAGAAATACACAACCTTATGTTCATTGCAGCATTATTTACAATAGCCTATGTATAGATAAAGAAGATGTGAGATGTGTGTGTGTCTGTGCACTTATTCGTGTCCAGCTCTTTGAGACCCCATGGACTGCAGCCCGCCCTGCTCCTCTGTCTGTGGGATTCTCCCAGCAAGAATACTGGAATGGGTTGCCATGCTCTCCTCCAGGGGATCTTCCTGACCCACGGATTTAACCCACGTCTCCTGTATTGGCAGGCAGATTCTTTACCACTGAGCTATGAGGGAAGTCCCTAAACAAACACACACACACACACACACACAAATACAATGGAATATTACTCAGCCATAGAAAGAATGAAACTGTCATTTGCAACAACATGAATGTTTCTAAAGGGTAATGCTAAGTGAAATGTGTCAGATAAAGAAAAAAATAACATACGATTTCACTTGTATGTGGAATCTATAAAACAAAATAAATGAACAAACAAAACAGAAAAAAATTCAAAGATACAGAAAAAAAAAAAAAAAAACTGGTGGTCTCCAGAGGGGAGAAGTGCAGGAGGTTGGACAAAACAGGTGAAGAGAATTAAGAGGTACAAACTTCCAGGTGTAAATTAAGCCATGGGGCTATAATATACAGTATGGGGGATACAATCAGTAATACTCTAGTAACTTTGTATGGCAACAGATAGTTCCTAGACTTACCATGGTGATCACTGTGTAATGTATATCAATGTTGAATCACTATGTTGAACACTTAAAACTATCATAATACTGTCAACTGTAATTCAACAAAAACAATAAAAATCTACACAATTTTTATTTAAAAAATTAAAACTCTACAGAGGCAAGCAAACAGTGTTGTTACTTTTCAAAATGAATCTGTGATTAGTGAAGATGAAATAATTCTCTGCCATGCTAAAACTGAGCAAGCATCAGCCAATGCGGAGAGATGTAAATAAAAGATCCCGTTCCCATTCTCAAGCAACTTGTAGACTAATGAGAAGACAAACATTCAGCGAGTTTTTACAACAAGAAGGCTGGGCACTGAAGAATTGATGCTTTTCAACTGTGGTGTTGGAGAAGACTCTTGAGAGTCCCTTGGACTGCAAGGAGATCCAACCAGTCCATCCTAAAGGAGATCAGTCCTGGGTGTTCATTGGAAGGACTGATGCTGAAGCTGAAACTCCAATACTTTGGCCACCTAATGCAAAGAACTAACTCCTTGGAAAAGACCCTGATGGTGGAAATGATTAAAGGCAGAAGGAGAAGGGGATGACAGAGGATGAGATGGTTGGATGGCATCACCAACTCGATGGCCATGAGTCTGAGCAAGCTCCGGGAGATGATGAAGGATAGGGAAGCCTGGCGTGCTGCAGTCCATGGGGTCGCAAAGAGTCAGACACGACTGAGCGACTACAGAACAACAATGACGATGATGACAATAGACTGTTCCAGCTGGAGAGCCAAAATTAGCAATTTTTTAAAAAATGTTAAAGCTCCTCATTCCTTTTTTTTTAACTTAGGTCTACAATCCTTTATCTTTAATCCACAAATCGAAAAAGCTCTGAAAATGGCACGAGTTTCTTTAGGATGGTAGCAATACCTGACTTGAATTAACATGAGGCTCTTCATCCTGCCTTATCCCATCCTGCATGAATATTCATATATTTTGCTGTTTAAATATTAGTATCTGTGATTATGGGGTACAACTGAAGACGACTTCAGGACTGTTAGCTAATAGATGGTATATGTACTTTTTTACCTTGAGAAAATCTGATGAAATCTGCATTTGGTGACTCACCTGACCTCCAGGGTTTCTGGTGAGGAACTGTAGTCGGGAAACATTCCACTTTCACCTTCCAGCTTGAAAGGTGGCTAAGATCATGCTGATACAGACCACGGGCATATATACCACCCAAGTATGCTGTAGAACCTAGAAATCTGTGTCTGCGTTTGGTAGGGGAGTTGGCACGTTTAAGTCAGCTATTGTTGTCAACTGTATAATTCCAGAGATAAGAATGCATTTGTGCGTTTTAACCACTTACCTTTAGAGATGCATCTGGTAAGACAGGAAGTGTTCCGTTTCACAGAGTTTCCACGCCACTGTAGAGAAACAGCTACAAGACTTACCTCTTGTTTGTGTGTGTTCCCCTGGGGACTGACACTTGTGTCTAACAAGGTGTCTGCTGGAAGGAGCCAGGGGCATCAAAGGAATCAGTCCCAGGCCTCCATCTACAGCCATCAACCCTCATTCATTTTTCTAAACTACTGGCACAGTACTCAGCTAGGGGATGTGGAAACAACAAATAAATGATACATGATCCCAGACTATTCTCAGGGAACCTGCTCCAAAGATGTCTCACAAATAGTAAACTAGAAGGAAGAAAAAAAAAAAGAGGAGAGAGTATTAGTCTATAACATTAAAGAGGAGGTGAGAAAACCAGGTTGCTAAATTTTTTGAGCAGCATTTGAGAGCAGGGAGAAGAGTGTGTTTGGGGAGGTGACTCCTCCATTGGATGATATTTGAAGAGACATCAGGCAAGAAGAAATCAAAGCATATCTTCCTAATTCTCCAGTAAGAGAACTCCTCGTTGGTACCTTTTGAGAGACATCACTAATGCCTTACTCATCAAGAAATTTGTGGGGTTATATTTATGCTCATTTTTATTTAATTTTATTTTTTGCCACACTGGGTCTTCATTGCTACCCACAGGCTTTCTCTAGCTGCATTGCACACCGGCTTCTTCGTGTGACGCATGCGCTTTAGGGCGCAGGCGCAGTAGTTGGTGGCATATGGGCTTAGTTGGGGGGTCCTGGGGAATCCTCCCAGGCCAGGAATCAAACCTGTGACCCCTGCACTGGCAGGCAGATTCCTAACCACTGTACCACCAGGGAAGTCCCGTTATGTTTATTTTTAAAATGACACTGACGTAGTTGACTGAGGTGCAGCCTGCTTTTCTTTGGAGTTGCAAAGACAATAAAGCCAGAAGGTTCGTATAGTGTCAGGTCCTCTGGCAACATCAGGGGAACTGACTGTAAAGGTCTTACCTTCAACGCAAGAGGGCAGAGCCCGAGTCGTGCCAGCAACCTGTCCTGGGAAGCAGGAGCACTTGACCGTCTGCGATCGCTCCTCGATGCGGTTCCTGTTACAGCATCTATGCACTGCCACTACCTCACAGGTCCCTTGCTTGATTTGGTGCTGACCTGGTGGATGACAGGGAACAAAACAGACCCAGTACTGTTAGGAAGAAACGGAACTACCAAGAGGATCGACGATGCCACAACTACAGCTTTCCAACTCCATGTACTGTATTCATGAGTCTACGTAACTTTTTCATTTTGATGTAATCTTAAACTTAGATCAAGATAACAGGAATAGTGGCATGAACTCCTATGAACCTGCGGTAGACAGAAATTTGGCTTCTGGGACCTTTAGTCCCCTGGTATCATACCCATGGCTATGTTATGTTATTTACATGGCAGAGAGATTTTTGCAGCTGTAATTAAGGTTATTAATTGGTTGAGTTTCAGAGAGGGAGATTATCCTCGATTACCTATGTGGAGCTAATGTCATCATGTGAGCCCTTCAAAGCAGAGAGAGAGAATCAAAAGGGGAAGTCAGGTTGAAAACATGAGGAGGGCTCAAAAGCACCATTGTTGGCTTCAAGACAGAGGGGTCAAGAGTCAAGGAAATAGAGACTTCAGTCCTACAACTACAAGGAACTGAATTCTGCCAAAAACAAGGATGTGTTTGGAAACAGATTCTTCCATAGGGACCCCATAGAAGAATGCTGTCCTCTTGATACCTTGAATTTGACCCAGAGAAACCAGCCCAACTGTGCCAGTCTTCTCATAGAAACAAGCCACTAAATTTATGGTAATTTGTCACAGCAGCAATAGCAAACTGATATAAGACCTTTCACCAAGACTCCCTAATCATTAACATGTGACCGCATTTGCTTCATCATTCACTTTCATATATTTTTTCTGAGCCATTTAAGAGTAAGTCGAAGACATGCCATTCCTTCATCCCTAAATACTGTGTATTTCCCAAGAATAATTAATTAATTCTCTGACATAATTAACAAATTCAGGACAATGAACGTTAACACAAAGCTATTATATAATCAACAATCCTCAATTCAGTTCAATTGCTCAATTGTGTCCAACTCTTTGCGACCCCATGGACTGCAGCATGGCAGGCCTCCCTGTCAATCACCAACTCCTGGAGCTTGCTCAAACTAATGTCCATTGAGTTGGTGATGCCATCCAGCCATCTCATCCTCTGTTGTCCCCTTCTCCTCCCACCTTCAATCATTCCTAGCATCAGGGTCTTTTTCAAATGAGTCAGCTCTTCGCATCAGGTGGCCAAAGTAATTTCCCAAAGATGTTCTCCAGAGCAGTTTTCCTTCTCCCTCAGGATCTAATGCAGGATCCTGCATTATATTCAGTTCACTTTTCTTTAGTCTTCTTTTGTTAGAACTATTCCTCAGGCTTTATCTTTCACAACTTTGACATTTTTAAAGAATGCATGTCAGTTATTTTGTAGAATGTTCCTTACTTTGGATTTGTCTGATGTTTCCTCCTGATGAGTGTCAGGCAATGCACTTTTGGCAGATTACCCTAGAAGTGACACTATGTTCTTCTCTGTGCATCCTATCAGGAGGCACTTAATGTCCATTTATTCCACTACTGGTGCTGTAACTGTTAATTACATGCTTAAGGTGGTGTCTACCATGTTTCTCCATTTCTAAAGGTATTATTTTGCCCTTTGTAACTAATAAGCATTTTAAGGGGAGATATATTGAAACGATGGCAACACCCCATTCTTCATCAAATGTTCATCTGCTATTTTTAGCATCCATTGATGATTTCCATCTGAACCAGTTATTAACATGATGGTTGCATAACTGATTCTATATTAATGTTCAAATTATCTCAGAGCTAGACAGGAGGAGACCCTTCACATTGGCAGCTCTGTCATTTTGACATATCCCCATTACTCTTTGAGTTCTTACTAACTTTCTGGCTCAAATGGAGACTCAAAGATGTGCCAAACTCACCCTTTATTTTTGCTGCCGTCATCATTTTACTCAAAGGAGACCTGATTGTTTTCAGTGGGGCATCAGATTTAGAAACCAAGGTCTTGGCACAAAGGTTTATTCACTGCTACTAGGGAGTGATTTGGGGCTGAAAGGATAGATAGATCTAGGAGTGTGTGTGTGCACGTGTGTGCACAGCGTAAGTTCACACCAATATCTCCAATTCCAACCTAGCACCACAGATTCTCACTACTCTGTCCACAAGTCTCTATTTGTATCTCCTGACACCAACAATGACAAACCTGACTTCCATAGTCCTGTAACAAACAAAAAGTAGTTTAATTTACTTTGGAGTTCATTTTATCAGTTAGAACTCTTCTCTTGTAACAACGGAAACTGATCTGAGCTCACTTAATTCAAAGAGGATTTACTGGAGAAGTATCAGGAGAGTGCAGAGCAAAGACAGAACTTAGGTTAATAATGCATGCGCGCTTAGTCACTCAGTCGTGTCTGACTCTTTGCGACCCCGTGGACTGTAGCCCGCCAGGCTCCTCTGTCCATGGGATTTCCCCGAGGCAAGAATACTGGAGTGGGTTGCCAAGCCCTCCTCCAGGGGGTCTTCCCAACCCAGGGATGGAACCCAGGTCTCCTGCATTGCAGGCAGATTCTTTACTATCTGGGCCACGAGGGAAGCCCAGGTTAATAGTAGTGGAACCTATTCTCAGGGGTGGCCCTGAGGGAATGATTCTACTCAACGACTCTGCCGTTCTGTTCAAGGTCAGGTCAGCTGTGGCAGCCACCATCCAGGGCGATCCCCAGTCAGCCCTGCCTCCTCCAGTCCACACGTTTGTGCAGTCCCTTCCCACGTGGGACCAGGGCGGGTCTGCAGGACCAAGAGCCTCCCAAAATTAGGTGGCCACTCTTTGTGCCCTTTGTATCACTCACTCGAGGGAAACCATGGCATAAGTGGCCCTTATAAAGACCCTTATAATGAAGACACTGAAGCCTCTTGCCACTAAACCCCGTGAGTGAGCTTCTAGGTGTATTTCCTCGGATGCTGCCCCAGCCCTGGTCTTTGTACCAATACAACAGCAAACACCAGAAGCAGTGGCTTGAGGAAACCGTGCTGCAAGCAGCTCTCTGGAGAGGGTCTTGTGGCCAGGAGTGAAAGTCTGTTGCCACCAGCCACAGAAGTGAGTAAAATAATATACAGTTGACTGTGTAAAATAACATACAGTTGGCCTGTGAACAATGCAGGAGTTAGAAGCACCAATTCCCACACACAATCGAAAATCTGAGTATAACTTATGGTTGGCGCTCCTTACCTATAGTTACACATCCACAAATTCAACCAACCACAGGTCAGGTGGCACCATAGTGCATATTTATTAAAGAAAATCAGAGTATACTGGACCTGCACAGTTCAAGCCTGTGTTGTTCAAAGGTCAACTGTATGTTGTTTCAAGCCTAAGATCAGGGCTAATTTGTTACACAGTAATAGATAACTAATACACTAACTCTGGTTATAACTAGGATGGAAAGACTTAGCTTTGCTCTGATTAAAAAAAAAAACAATATAAACAAGATTGCAGAGGTAGTGTTTAGAAATTATTAATGAAAGGCAAGTTTTTTGAGGACCCTCAGAGCACTCACCTCATGGTTTTCACAGATTCCATTTACATATAAATTGTTCTGTGAATTACAAGAAATCTCATCTACTCATTAAAACAGGTTTCCCCAAGGAGTCCCACGGGTTAATGTTTTGCTCAGTCACTGCTGTTTGGTGTATGTGTTTCGAATAATAAAACTCATTTTAAAAATTCCATATTTCAGATTTTCAGTCCATAAAGACAGGCCTTCTACAAAATAATCTCTGTATCATGCTGAATGATTTTCTGGCCCTTCCCTGTCATACCATCTTAAACGGTGAAAAAAGAAATCCAAATCACAGTGAGAACAAACACTAAGGCAGTTTCATTTGTAAAATACATAAAAATGGAACCAGTACCCAGAGAGTCAAACCACCAACATGAGAGACAGCTTTCAATCCACAAGACAAGAACACATAAATATGAAAGACATAATTAAAACTATAAACCTAATTAAATATTTGCAAGAAGAGTGTTTATGTCCCATAGGTAGTTGTGTATGACTGTAAGGAAGCACATAAGTAAAAAATAAAGGGTAATTACAGTGTCGGCAAAGTAGCACGGAACTTCCGCAGCACGTGAGCAGAGAAGTGGCGATGGGGCAGAGCTCACGGGGAGAGTCTTTCCCCAGTTTCCAAGCGCACATAAGCACCTTCGGGTCAAACGACCCCAGAGAGGTAACGACTGGGGGTGGGGGAGAGGGGTGGCCAAGCCTCCCGCAGTGACCCCCTCCTCGTCAGCTGCCGCAACGCACGAACACTGGCTGGGTGGCCTCAAAAACAGACATTTGTGTCTCAGAGTTCTGAAGGCTAGACACCCAAGAACAAGGTGCTGGGCAATTCAATTCCTGGTGAGAGTTCTTTCCCTGGCTTTAGACAGTCTGTTTTAAAAAAAAAAAAAAATTTAATTTACTTACTTTAGTTTTCTGGCCACACAGCATGTGGGTAAGCTGTTAGTTCACCTGGCCAGGGATCAAACCTATGCCCCCTGAATTGGAAGGTTAGTGTCATAACCAACGAACCGCAGGGAAGTCCCCCTCCTTCTTACTGTGTCCCCACACGGCAGAGACAGCACCCTCGAGCATCGCTTCCTCTTCTGAGGACACCAGCCCTATTAAATTAGGGTCCACCCTATGACCTCATTTAACTTTTATCACCTCCTCACAGACCCTGTCTCCAAATACAGTCACATTTGGGAGTCAGGGCTTCAACATATGAATTTGGTGGGGGAAGTCTATAACAGCCATCATGCCTTAATTAGGTCTTAAATGGCCATAGAGAGTCTATAATGAAAGCAGCTCTAAACCTCACTAAGAAAAGAAATATGCTTTAGTAACTTTCCTAGACTAGCCAAGAAGTGATGTGAACATTCATTAATACTATAGTTTGCTGAGAGTTTTGTTGCTATTCAGATAACCATCCACAAATGCAAATAGATTTTTTTTCTATTCAGTCTTGTCTCTGAATAATCAGCTTGCCTGGTGTAGATTTTATTCATTTATATAGCACCAACT